GTCCTCGAAGAAGAAGGATTGGTGTTGCAAGAAGTTCTCAATTGGTTGTCCTGAGGCAGTGGAAGCGGATACCTCACCAGTGGACCTGGACAAATCATCGGAATCAGGTGCAGATGATTTTGATTGCACCGCAGGCTACCAGTCCTGGAAGACTGGATGGTCGGACACAAAGAAGGGCTTCTGCTGCAAGAAATACAAGCTTGGATGTCCTGATAAATCCTCTGGCTGGGTTCAGGAAGTTCACAGTCTTCCAACTGCACATTTGCAGCATTTGCACCATGTGCACCACTACCACTTTGGCCACTGGAGCCAGGCTGACTGGTCACACCTTGGCCATGCCTTTTGGGCAACGCACGGCAGTCACAAGACTCTCACGACTCACAAGACTCACGAGGCCATCGACTGCGTCACAGACTTCAACCACTGGCAGGAAAGTTGGTCTTCGAAAAGGGCGGCGTACTGTTTCTCAGCATGCAAAGTGTTCGTTGTTGCAGCAGACACCTCGTTGCAGATAGGCAATGAAACACCTCCAAAAGTCTTTTGTCAGGATGCGGAATGATGTCACATTTACTTGGTGAACTGAGGCTGCCAGAAGTACCACGTAGCCTGTGGCAAAGGTGACAAGCTAGATTTGGCTGCCAAGTGACTCTTGCTTACGCTGTTGCGTGACTATCCAACAACAGTGTAGAGTCTGTGTTCCGCTTAAACATGAAATACTTTGTTTTCTCAGAATGAAGAACTTGGATAGTCAGCTTTGGCCCAAAATCGTTGTTCACCGTGCAAGCCGACATCGGCCTGATTGAATCAGTGGTCACGGTGTGCAAATCAGTGATCGGCCCCCACGCTTACCTCCGTTGAATGATGCAAAAACCCAAGAGACAAGGATAGAAAAGCTACGAAAAGGATAGACAAGCCTTTCTGAGCTTTTTTGATAGACAAGCCTTTCTGAGCTTTTTTAAATCTAATTTTGATACATGCTAGGGAGTTTCTTGATGCACTATATATATATATATATATTGTGGTCAGGAGCAACAACATGTTGCAAGCTGATCTTGCATCGCTTTAATTCATGGATGCCGAATCCAGAGTATGGTTTACAGTACATCTATAGCTTACACTTTCCTTTTCCTTTGGTCTTTCCTGTACACTTGAGGATAAGTTTCCATTCTGGAAGTGACAAACAGCACAAGCAGTTTGCTACGAAACGGTGGAAATCCATTTTGAACGTCCACATGTGGCAACAAAAGCATGTTGGGCTATCAGGGTTGTTTGGCAAAACAGAGGGTCACTGTCACAGTACTCCCGGAGCTTGATGCAGAGTGAGAAGAAGGAAAGTTTAGGGTACGCTTCAGGAACCTGTAATTGGACTGTGTCCAAGGGAGCTCTCGAGCAGCTACAACTTGTGAATGCAGGGCTTTGTCCCAAAGATTGACAGAGAACTGGATATCTTCGGTATCCATCTCCTTTACCTCGCCACAAGATGCTGGAGGTAAATGGAAAGGCCGCCAAGCCCCGAAATTGGTCAGTGATGGACCAAGAACCTTTATATACCTCGCTGCTACCAGCATTTCATTGACGATTGATTGACTAGCACTATATATATATATATTTCTACTGACTTGTGGACAAATTTTCAATGTTTCTTAGCTAAGTACTCCAACTGGCCTTTAAATGAAGCGTGCTGGTTCTGTCGAACGGGTAGTGTAATTGATAGGCAACAAACCACTTGAGGTCTGCCACTGGCCAGCTGGTCTGGTTTTCAGAGTTTGGTTGCTTTGGCATGGCAACATTGCAACTGTGAGCGATCACTGGGAAATCAGAGACGTTGGTTGACTTCCACATCGCCGTCATTTGTTCGCGCAGAACCAATATCTCCTCAACTGTCAAATCCAGAAGTCAATCCTTGCTTTGTTTTGCTCAAAACTTCCATAGTTTTTGCTTTGTTTTGCAGTAGGTGAGCAGTTTGTAAACATTCCAAACCTTTTGGGCGGACACTTCAGCTAAAAGGCTTCGCAAGGCTTCGCAGCAGAGGAAGGCAAATGGGTCCAAAACACAAAGAGCAAGTGACCACAGTGAGATCATCCACTCTCAACAGCTTTCACTCTTGCCACTCTTGCAGCTTCACAGTTTGCCTTCCCTCAGCTGCATTGTGGTAAAGCAGCAAAGAATCTGCAGCGCCTCGTCAAAATGTTCTCAGATGCATTGAACTCACATATTTGGAGTGTAGCGGTATGCTGTGTGTATGCTGTCCAATGGTTCGAGGTAGCTTTTGGTGGTTGATTTGACAGCCAACAGAATGTCAGTTGGGTTCAACGTTTCAATCAATTGAGTCCGACTCAGAGGTACAGTACCACAGACGCACGTTCAGACGAGCTGGACGCACATCGGATTTGCGAGCGTGAGAGTTGCAGGGCTACCAGGTTGAATCGCTTGCATTGCCATCCATGTACCTCCTGAAATGGTTGGCTGCTGGATGCAATGGCCATTGATTATTTGATACGATATGAACTTTCTCTTTGCAATCTCCTATAACTACTCCGAAGATAACACTGGAAACTCAGCAGTCCATTCTAGTTCCACAGCACCGAACATCCACATGTCACACAAACCAGCAACCAGCAGTACTGGAGCCTCTAAGCATTGGCTGGAAACCAGTAGCCTGTCTCGAACAACCCCAGACAAATCAAGGCAACAGCAAGGCCACCTGATACAGCGTAAACCAACCTGAAAGAGTTCCGAGCTCTAGCTGATGGCGCGCAGTCCGAGCCTCAATCTATGAAGACCAGGGGCCTAACATGAGGTTTGCACAGCTTGCTCACATGTTGTGCATGGACTGGCTGTTGCTCAACCAGTCTTTCTGACTGCCGACATGTTTCGAGGCCAAAACTCGTTTGAGCGCATCTTCCCACGCGAGGGTGAAACAAAGAGAACAGGCGTTCGTTGCAGCCGTCTTAGGCCGTTGGAAGGGCCGTCTTGGGCCGTCTTAGGAGGTTTGTGCCAGTGCAGTCCGCAACTGCGATTTTCAGATAGTCCAGAAAGATTTTAATCCTTTCAGCCGGCTTCTATTCAGTTCTTATATACATCATTCCGCTTCACTCATCTTAATTTAGGAATCGAGCCGCGACCAGTTCGATTCTTGGCCTTTCCATGTGCCAGACAGTCCACCATCTGTCCATGAGCTGTTTGCTATGACCATGCGCCAGATTCTGAGCACAGAATTGCCGACTTGTTGCAGCTTTGACTAAGCCACAGCAGGGACTTCGTTGGTCCCAGCGTCCAACGGGACTTCGGTCAAAAAAGGAGGCCTGATCGGGTGGTGCCGGTGCCTGTCATCGGTGCAGGTGACGAGCTGTCAGCCTCCCAGTTTGCGGAGGCACTCGTGAGTTTGCATGGCGACGCTTGGCTCAGAGCATGCCGCATGCTGCGAGGTCGGTGAACCACAGCCAATTCTCCTTTAAGCTTCGTCACAACAGATGTGTGGTGTTTTCCTGCCTGCTGGTGTGGTACGTAGGACAGGGTCATTGGCAGACCAGTTTCCTTCAGACCTAGCCAGGCAGGTTAAATGTCCCTGAACTGGTTTAGCCACAATGTCCCCCTGAATCTTGCTACCTATCGCATGCTAGTGGCTGGCGTATGCGTGCAGCCTGAGTAGCAGATGTGAAGCTTTGTGATACTTCCCAAAGTTATGGTATATAGTCATATAGTGGTTTGGTTTGCAACACTATGCTTTTGGTTTCTTGGTTTTAAGGCAAGGCACCCAATCTGATTAGAAGTGTTGCATTGACCGTTGGCCAACACCGTTGGCCTGCACACTGGATGCATCCGATGCGAAGAGTTCAATGGATTTAGATGCGGGATGAGCATCGATGGTCGGATGTGCACCCATTCCTAAACCTGCAGGTGTATCTGTGTAGTGTAGTCACCGTAGTCACCCGAAAGCCAGTCCTTTTGGACACAGGCAATTTCAACATTTCCTCATGTTTTCATTGTGCAGAGCAAGGTGTTTTGACCCACTTACTTGGAGACTTTTGGCAACAAAGCAGATATTTTGAGGTTGAACTTGTGCCACCATACACGACAAATCCAGCACCAGGTAGCAACAACCAAGTGACGCAATCCTTTTAAGGGGCAAGTGATTCCGCTGAAGGAGGTGTGCATATATATATATATATATGTTTGTTTTTCTAAACGAACGAAGTGAATATTCGGGTGTGTGTGGGGGTGGTTGCGAGACTGTACCTTTCGGGTAGGGAAGTAGACAAAATGCATGTTTGTAAGGGCCATGGTGATGCGAGTGATGCCAAAAAGGTCGAAAAGTGCATCATTAGCATCACAAAGTGGCCAGGCAGTCGGTCTAGTTGTGTGTTTATGCTTTTTCCTCAGCATCAGCTGTAAAGGTAGCAACCTGTAAGCAGCAGTGTTACCACTCAATTGTGTCGCCGTAGAGTTTGCTTTGAACATTTACTGTCTAGGGTGCCATTTTTTCGGCTTTGGACCCTTTTCACATTGTGTGTGTGTCACACTCAACCGGCTAGCAACACCAACAAACTTGAGTAGCCAATTTTTTTTTGCACATATTCTACTGTACTCTACGCCTCTATGCTGAGATCCGCCTGACGCCAGCTGCTGCTGGTGCCTGAGTGAATGGTCTCACTTTTCTGTTCTAAACAAAACCTGTCTAACTGTTACGCTTTTCTACCGAGTGAAGATTTGACACCGAAGGCCTTAGTAAAGCTTTGACTCTACATTTTTCGTGGCTGTGGTTCTGCGGACTTGGGATGTATGGAATTGAAGCAGGTGCAGGCCCGAAGGTGGACCCTCTAGATTCTAGATGTGTCTTGTGCAACTTTGTTCTGGGATTTAGCTGCACTGAGGACGATTTGCAGAACCGCTACCAAAAATTTGGGGTCAATCCATGGGCCGCACTTGAAATTTCCTACCTGTTACACGCGGAAATCACGTTGATATCACCTTGACCATCTGACAGCTTTCTGCACGTCAGCTTACATTTGTGGCTCTAGCTGTACTAGATGCAAACATACGAGACATGTTTGGTGTCCGTATTGATGGGTGATTTGCGGAAGCTGTGGCTGGATGGATCAGCTCCTTGCCGACATGACGCCAAGTGAGAGAATTGAGGTTTCGGATGTCCCATTTCGGTAGCACGGAAATGACAGTGAGTCTCAAGCTTCAAACTCATCTGTGTGATTCTATGACCGTACGTTGAGTGCGGAATTCAAAACTTCAGTCTGTTCGTGGCCAATTGCGGACAAATGCTGAGGCTAAAACAACCAGTTGGCTATTCAAGCCCAGTTGGAAGCGCAGCTCTTAAGCCGCAAAAAGAAATGCCCGTGTAATTACTTTCCTTGCCTTCTAGTAAGTCATTTATCATTTTCCATTTTCATACTTCGAGCTGGAATCATTTGCTTGAGTGAATAATGGTGTCATGCCTGTTTGTTGTTGAAATGGCGCGCTAGCCAACTGCATCACTGCCGTAGTAGCAGCAGAAATGCTGAGATTGTCAAAAGTCAAAGTCAGCTTCACGAGTATTATCAACATATCGTCACCTCCACACACTGCCATCGAACAGGACGACCCTTTTCCACCAGGCTGAAAGGTCGTGGCGCGCCACAGCGAAGCTGAGCGAGTCTCAGCAAGGAAGGCTTTGGCTTTGGAAGACACTGTGCAGCCTGCCGCCAATCCACTACACGCATTCGTTTGGGACCGCTTTTTGCAGCCAATGACCCATGCAAAAGATCCGCAATTTCCTTGGCTGCTTTGTTTGGCAGTTCAAGAAGGCATTGCAAAACATATGCAATCCGGAGGCAGCGTGGCTCTCTAGACAGCAACACGCAGTGGCACAGAGGGCGATGGCGATGTGCAACGTGTGCGCACTGTTTATGCTGTTTTTTTGGGTCTTCCTCGGTCCTAGCCTAGGTCAGCAGATTGTTCTTGTGTTGTATGTCCTATGTCTATATGTTGTTCACTTTTGCATACTCAGACGGTCTGGCTCGTTCGGTTGTCGTTTTTTCTTACAGTAATTGGTTTTCGATGGAAAGGAAGAAACACGATAAAAGAGCAAACAATTCAAGATAAGGCCTCCTTCCCCCTCTAGTCAATAAACCACATAATCCCAATGTCAAAACGGGCTTATTAAAGGAGCCCTTATCTTCAATTTGCTCTTCGTTGTTTTTCTTTCCTTTCTTTCATATCCTACCCTTTCCTTACCCCTAGCACTTCCCCGTCCCCTGCATCTAGATTTCCCACTCCTAATCGTTTTCACGTTTGGTGCTCTCGTTGCTGTTGAGGAGTGGCTTCAGCTTCTACAGCTGCAACTGGGTGGTGCCTTTACCTGGGCAACCAATGAATCAGAGGCACCACGAAGACATGTTTGGAGAAAGAGTAGATGACAGAACGGATTCATGACCTATCAAGGACTGTAGCACTTTCCGCGCCAGTGTCGGACAAGCGACAGTATGGGGAGCTTGTAATTATGGCATGTCATCACAGGGCACGGTGCAGCACAGCTGTTTGGCTGTTGCAGGAAGGCTTTACCATCAACAATGAGCGCTTTGTCATCTCTGGTCTGCTAGGAGCACCATTGGTCAGCCTGTTCAGAGTCGAGCAAGGAAAATTGCAGGCAAAATTCAGAACTGCTGGCGAAATTCAGAACTCAGAGTTTGATTGACTTCAGATTCTGCCATCGCTCAGGAGAAGGCAGCTTTGGTTCTGTTTATCGCTGTTCTTGCGAAGGGCATCAGCTTGCTGTGAAGATCCTGAGCACAGCAACCTGGCGCGGAGGGCTGCTAGAATTGCGCAAACTCATGACATACCTTGCATTAACATAAATGTCATTGGCCATGCAACAACAGCCTGTTTCCAAGTCCTAGTTGCCCAATTGTTGCCCTTTTCTCCGCGTTGTTGGCGGTTTCATCATAGTGTTCGACGGGACTCTGGTGAGTTTGGATTCTAAATCCTCTGCCAACTACAGCAAACTCCTGCTGCATCCGACAGTGATTGCTCAACAATGCCGATCAAGTTGTGAAACACAACTTGTGAAATAGAGTACACACTGTGCTGGAGTGAATAGTCTGAGTGAGTTGCGATGAATCACATGCATTTGTCCACTACACCTTCCCTCAAGCGTTCTCCATTCATTGTTTGCTAAAGGAGACAGAGTGCCGTTCTGTGTGCTCCTTTGATTGAGGAGAGGATTGCGATGATGACGAACTGCTCGCAGGACATTGTGCTGCGGTATCTCGACAAGTCGTTGTCTATCCAGGGACAGAACAGTATCCAAAAAAGGTGCTTGTCCTTGGCCCTGTCATGAGCTTGACTTTACTTAGTTTCCACCCTCGTGCACTTGTACATGAGAATGACCGATCCTTTCTTGCTTGTTGCACACCTTTGAAGCACACTTTCTTTCAGATTTCAAAGCTTGTGGAAATATGGTGACCGGAGTCTCATAGGATCGCAGTTATATAAAGAATTCAATTGGAAAAACACGGTTTCACCATAGCCATGAATCAGATGTTTGATGACGTCATGATGTCATGCTTCCATCTCGATGTCTGTAGGGTGGGCGCCACGCCTAGTGCCAACGGCCCATAACGAAACCATAACGAGTCCCATTCTGTGCAGTTTGGAGTCTCTTTGGCGTCCTTTGAATTGGGCACCTGACCATATCCGGGAGGGGCGAAACCGACTCGGGATGACAAGCTATGTGAGGCGGATGTTGCAAGAGCCGGAGATCTTGGGATGCTTGGGAGGCCATCCAAACATCGTGCAGCTGCGCTGTGCAGCGGTTTCTCAGCAAACCTTGCGGATCTATATCGTGATGTGCCTCGTGCAAGGTTAGATTGCTTTGAACTACAAGCTGTTCTGACACATGGCGTATGGATTGCCTCCCTGTCCCCACTCCCCCAATGGTAACACGAACGGACACCAGACGCTTACTAACCTGCCAGAGTGCTGCAACCAGCAGAAAGAAGCAGTGGCACCTTCGTGTCACAGCCATGTTGTTGAGCTACACCCTGCGGAATGTAGTGTTCGCACATGTGCCGTCAGATTGGTTGGCCAACAAGGCAGTTTCTTTATTCGTCATTTTTATGTCATGCCAATACGTGCACTGGGAGGGCCAGCAGTGCTGCTTTGCAGCAATCATATTCCTTTCCCAACCAACCAGCCAACTATCCAGTTTGTGTTACAGTATACAAACGTTCTTTTCCAACAATCAACAATGTCTCCTCAGCTTGTGAAACTCGATTCTTGTTCCTAGGCAGCTGCTTGAATGCAGCGACCTCTTCACAGAGATGCTACGTCGGAGACAGCCCTTCAAAGAACGAGATGCGCGAGAGGACACATTGTGTGTGTGTGTTTTTGTTTTGTTTTTTTCCCCAAACAGTTTACTGTTAGGGGTTCTCAATTCTTTCTTAAGATGTGTCCGCCCTTTGTGTCACTGCTGGTGTCCGCCCTTTTCCGCTGGCCATGTAGCTACAATGTAGCATTTCTATTCATTTGTCTCCCAGGTCTGTCACTGCTGGTGTCCGCCCTTTTCCCCTGGCCATGCAGCATTTGTATTCATTTGTCTCCCAGGTCGCTGCTGGTGTCCGCCCTTTTCCGCTGGCGATGCAACATTTCTATTCATTTGTCTTCCAGGTTTGTCACGGGTGGTGTCCGCCCTTTTCCGCTGGCCATGTAGCATTTGAATTCATTTGTCTCCCAGGTCTGTCGCTGCTGGTGTCCGCCCTTTTCCGTTGGCCATGTAGCATTTCTATTCATTTGTCTCCCAGGTCTGTCACTGCTTGTGTCCGCCCTTTTCCGCTGGCGACGCAACATTTCTATTCATTCCCCAATCAGTGTACTTTTAGGGGTTCTCAATTCTTTCTTAAACCGTGTCCGCCCTTTCTGTCACTGCTAGTGTCCGCCCTTTTCCGTTCATTTGTATCAAAAGTGGTTTCTTTACTTTTGTCTCCCAAGTTTGGTGCGCCCTGCTAGTGTCCACCCTAATCCGCTGGCCATGCAGCGCTTCTATTCATTTGCCTCCCAAATGATTTGATTACTTTTCTTTTCCAGGTTCGGTGCCTGCGCTGCTGGCCTCCGCCCTTTTCCCCTTTCCAGCATTTCTATTCATTTGTCTCCCAGGTGGTTTCTGCACTTCCTCAAACAGGTTATTTGCTGTTAGGGGTCCTCAACGCTTTCTAAGAGTGTCCGCCTTGCTGCGGGACAGCGTGTCCGCCTTCCGTCCAGCTTGTCTCCCTTTCTGTGTCCGCCTTCTCCCTTCTGTCTCCCTTTGTCTCCGGTCTTGTCTCCCTTCTTGTTGGTCACTGTGTCCGCCTTGTCCCCCTTCTGTTACCTTTGTCTCCCTTCTTGTCTCTCTTCTTGTTGGTCACTGTGTCCGCCTTGTCGCCTTGTGTGCGTCTTGTCTCCCTTCTGTTTCCTTTTGTCTCCCTTCTTGTCTGCCTTCTTGTTGGCCATTGTGTCCGTCTGGTCTCCCTTCTGTTTCCTTTTGTCTCTCTTCTTGTCTCCCTTCTTGTTGATGTCTCAAAATGTGGACTTGGGAATGCTTCGTTGTTGTCCCACCTGTTTGGGGTCTACGGTGGTGTACTTTTTTTAAAACTATATACTGTAGTTACTCATTTTTGCGAGGGCAAACTTAAAGCATCCGATGTACATGCAGAAGCATGCAGCACACTGCTTCACGAGACCGACATGAAGAGTGGAAGTCAAATCAGTCAATGTTGTGATGTTGTCTCATCCTCTCACTGCTGATTTCGAAGGCAGTATCACAATTGGTGATGGCGGTTGTGCATTGCCACCGTCGTGGTGTTGCACATCGGGACAGGGTTGAGTTTGCTGAACCTTGTTCATTTGACAGGTTGAGCAAGCGCATTGGCAAGCTTTGGCACAGTGTTCAAGTTCACATCACTGTTATATACATGAGTCGACCGACCCACCAATTCATTTAGTGGTTGTTTCATTGCATCACAGGTGCGCTCAATTTTGCCAGATTAGCTTTACCACCTTGTCGCTTCTCTAGTCTCAATCTTGTCGCAAAACCGTCTACGCTGACCAAACGGAAAGAATCCAGGCAATGCAAGAACTCCAGTTGCATCAACATCACTTTACATGCTGCCCACACCAATCTATACAGTCCTTTCAGACTCAACAATCTATACAGCACGAGTGAGTCTGTCTGTTCAAACCACCTGGATTTGGCATGATTCACAGGACATCAAGCTGGAAAATGTGATGGTCGCCAGTGTCACACCCTTTGTCATCAAGCTGATTGACTTTGGGCAGGCCGGGCTTCTATGCCAGCATGATCGTTTTTGGTGGGACTGAGAGGAATCCGTCAGCTGAAGAGTTGTAACTCCTTCCACGGGACTCGGGACAATGGTTGATTCCAACCTCGCTTCCCCATGTACCACGTACAGCCTCGTTGTCCCCACAGGCGATCATGCACGATCAGCGAGTGGAGCAAATGACCAGTATGGCCCGAAACTCAGCGAAGGATGAAGAGAGGAACAAGGATGAAGCCGACAATGTCATGTACATCAGAAAGTGCCTTTAGTCGGTACCAGCCTTGTTTGTTTGCACACAGCCTTAGTTGTAGAACATCATTTAAATGCTTGCAGGACCCTAGCAAAACTGCTCGACCTCTACACACTCTTGCGTGGTTTTATTGACAGTTTATTCCGCCTTTCTCTCCGACAGGTGTCAACAATTTGCAAGTCAACTGATGTTTTTGAACTGCACAATTGCTTTTACGAGATACTTTTGAACTCAAGCAGGATTCAACCTCCAAAGCCAATGTAAGTAAATGCAGAGAACATCATAAAAAAGAAATGATTTGGAGCAATTACCCACAAAAGGTAGCCTTCAGAGGGGTACGTTTATATAGTTTGTTTTGGTTGACGAGTCCTGTAACGGTCCTGCTTGGCATCTTTTGTAGTGTATTTGCATTGTGTGTAGACATTTACATATGTCATGTGCAATAACGTTCGATTGTACGTGTGTCATGTTAGCACTGGATGTTGATGTACTTTAGCTGGATGTGCGTGGACGATGCAGGGTGGTGGGGGGGAGTAATTACGTTCAGTTGGATGCGCTTCGGGGAGGATACCACATGCACACATGCTTTCGCAGACGATGTCACACGCACCGCACAAACGCTTTTGAAGATGGTGGCGAGAACCAAAGAGAGAGCTGGCTTGTAAAGATGGCCAGAAAGATTTGAGTGACCAGCTTCAACTTTATGTTCATGCTTTCCAATGGCGCGGCAACCATCGAGGTTCGCTGTGGAAGGACACGGGAAAGCTGTCGAAGAAGGGTTGAAAAATAAGCACCAAAAAAAACACACCCAGACCTGCAAACGATGTAACTTTTCTAAAGCAGTCCCGAATTGGTAGAATACCACAACTTTTTGTGAACCAACACACATAACACAAAAACCTCAGACAACCCACATAACGCACTTGAAGACTGCAAGAAACACGAACTGTGGAACCGTCACGGACCCGTTACCTTGCTTTGTGAAGCAAGTATCGGGTCGACTTGACGGATCCGTACGGATCAGGCGTTGATCGGATGCCACGGCTCAGCATCGGATCGCCCGGCTCATCGGATGGTCGGATCATGCGATCGGGTCGGATCTCCGGATCGTCAGAGGTCTCCGGATCGTCCGCATCTTCTCAATGTCCAACCTTTCGTGTTTCCCGACACAAGCGCAAGTTGATAGGCAGTGGAAGGGTTTGCAAGGTTTGGAAAGGTTACAAGTTGACGAGCTGCGGAAAGTCGTTTGTTGTGTTTCACAGGTGCAGAAGGGTCGTTTTCTTTGGTTTGGATCTTTTCATTTTCGCGGGACTATGCCTGTGTGGACCACATGTTTATCCCATGCGAAGCTGTCATCAGACCGGCGGAAGATCGACACCGGTTGCACGAGTTGCTCCCGCCATAGCGGATTCCCAGACCATGGACCTCTCTGGCACTGCGCGAGCTGTGCCACCGAACGATCGTCCGCGATATAGGTAGATCGATATCAATCATGCACAAGGTTGACAGGAAACTGCACAAGATCAAGCAAACTTAACAAGCTTAGTGCGAGGATTATAGAAGCTCCCAAGGACCAATTCGAATGTCATTGTATACTATGTAATGAAAACAAGATGTGCGACGTGCTTTTCATTCAGATGCTCCCACAAGAAAACGAGCCGAGAGAGGCCTTTTAAAAATAACTGGGTTGGAACTGCCACGCCTGAGCTGCGATCCTGGGCTGTCCCGGACCACTGACCGCTCGTATAGAAGAGTTCCCCCCAAGCCCTAAAGTCACAAACCATACTTGCAATCAGTGAAGTACTGAAAGCCGCTGGCGATGCTGATGGGTTCCGCAGATCTGCCATTTAAGAGTATACTGTAAGACATACACTTAGAACATATTTTGACGGTTGTGGACATTGTGATGGTTTTGGAAAGCAGGTTCGCGTCTAAACTTGTATTAGTTGGTGCTTCCAGCAGAGATGAACAGTGTCTCCACAACTGCAAAGGATACTCATCACTGTAAGAAAATATCAATTGTATAAAACAATCATTTTTTTGCATAATATGCAAGTTGTCTTCGCAAAGAATAATCCAAGAGCTCTGAGAACGAGAGAGGGAACACACACACACATACTTATATACATAATATGATGTTCTAAGTGCACTGTTTGCTCTTGCTCTAAGAGTGCTTGCGGTCCATGTTCTATTCGTGCTTGCACTGGATGTTCTAAGCTCGATGTTCTATGTAGAGGGTTTCGAGTTTTGGAAAAAAAAACATGTTCTAAGTATTCGTTTGCAACTATATATTCAATCATTTTCAGATAATAAAGCACAATATAATATATCAATTCAAACTACAGACGAGAGCGGAGAGTGGACTCTCACCCCGATACAAGCACCCAACAACGATCTGAAGATCTGTGGTCCTACACGGCTCACAGCCCGACGGACAGACCATTGCTCCCAGGCGAAGACGCTGACAACGACCTCGGTCTATACCCCGCCAGAGGTTAAGTCCAAAGCGGCAGAGCCTCCGTTTTGATTCAGCGAAGTAGAGCCAAAGTCCAGTCGTCCAGTGCAACAAGGCGACAAGGGCAGACAATTTGTGGCTTCATTTTTGGTTTGGCAAAGTTTGGTGGTGGAGATCTAATGCACAACAGATGTCGGGTAGCTTGTGCTTTGACTTGAGTTTATCACCAGCTGGTTCGGCTCCGTTACTATATATAGTGGACTTTACTGATTGGAAAGACGATGATCCACCATCCCAGGATGACTTGCGCTATGATGCTTTCAAACTCGAATCTCGGCCTGAAGCTATTTCAGGTGGCAGGAGTTCGTTTGAACACAAAGCTACTTTAGACAGGGGAGATGCAGCATGTTTGGAATAAAGGTTGGCATCACAAGCGATCTGAAGCTTGAGACGGTGTGGTAATTCTTTTGCAAGGGTTTGTACTGACATGTACTGGCACAAAGGACTGCTTTGCGGTTGGGGTGGTGCTCTACGCTTTGTTGATGAGTGCTTGGCCACAAACGAGACAGCCTGGTGAGTTTGTCACTTGGACTGAAGGCTTTCTGAAGACGAAAAGGGAGTCGGACTCTGACTTTGTCCTGGAAGACTTCAGTTCCTTCATTGATGTTATGTTTGGCAGGAGAAGCATCCCTTGTGGAAGCGCCTTTCCATACAAGCGCAAGATCTCATCAGGGGCCTGTTGGAGCCTGATCCGTGCCCCGTCTCTTGTGGAGTACAGGTAAAGCCGAAGACATTTGTGGAGCAAGGCAGTGCTTGGTGTCATTTGATTTTTGTTGTTGAAGGCCCTACTCGTGCTTTCAAACCAGCACTTTTCTCTGCCAACAATCCAGGAGTATTGCAATTGACTATGATACGCTGCAAATGAGCGATTCCCGCATTCGCTGTTGGAAAAGCACTGTTGTGTTTGCGACTGAAAAATCTATCTGCGGCAGAAGCCGAGGCAGAAGCGGCTGTCGATGGTAGATGCTCTGCAGCATCCATGGCTCTGCCAAAAAAGTGTCCTGGCTCCAGACAGACCAAGGCCAAGGAAACAGGAATGGATATCCGATAGTCTTCAGCCAACAGCCAACAGGAATGGATAGTGCCTCATTTGTGGCGGTCACGAACGAGCATTTTGTTCTGTTGATTGAAGCTACACTACATCAATTGAAAGTCAACATGTTCAGTCAACGCTACTCAGGTAGCATGGGGACGAGGAGAGGGGACAGTACTTGAGTTAAGACAGGCAGAAAGCACTGGACTTTGTCACGAACACTTGAAAGCACCTCTTTTCAGTTCTTCAAGACCTTTTGAAGGTGATTCCGTGCTAAGGGTCGATGCTTTTTGAAGGTGTCTTTCTGTGTGGGCCTCTTGGACGAGCTCGTTCCACTTTGCTCAGGCGTAGAGTGTATCCCAAGATTTGTTCAATGGAGGCCTTTCCTTTTGAACAGCTCAATTTTGGAAGTCAGAGTTTATTTTCCTCCTTTATTTCCCCTCGGTTCATTGCGCTTGTCAAAACATGTGATTCGATGTTCCTTGACATCTCTTGCTGACTCTGTTTTGAGCACTTGTTGTTTTTGCTCGTGCTGTTTGAACAGCGGTTTGTACATCAATCACCCTTCGTGAAACGTGTCACCCCGCGAGGTTTCATTCACAATTTTTGTACACGGTATTTTTGACTATTTTGTACTGGGGCCACCTTACTACAATGGTGGTAGGATCTCAGCAATCTGCTCTGTCAGTGTTGAGTTGGGCTGGATTTTCACAAGTTCTGGCATACTTCAGTCCTCTTTGCATAGCCTGCTTTGCTGTGCTGTCAAGTCGAACATCTCGTTCTTGTAGCCAAGGGTCAGGTTCAAGCACATGCTGCAGCTCCCTGTCGAAGAGTCTGACACTTTTGGGGTTGTTTCTTTTAAAGCCTCGAAAAACCGTTAGGGTCGTGGTTACAGCGTAGCAACTACGTGCTGGCACGTTTTCCTTCCAGAGCCATTTTACCATCTTACGACTGCTTCAGGTCCTACCCATCTTTTGGGGAGTTAATCTCACGACCAAAGGACACATATTAGGTCGGAGGCCATAGCTACTAGTATCTACTAGTTAAGTTTCCCTAAAAAATCGAGGAAGGCAAATCATGAGCGCCAGCTGTCCTGCGTCCAGTTCCTAGTCGCCAGCTTTACGAGCTCCCTCCCGAAGTCGCTACCTCCCTCCGGTCGCTCCAGGAGCTCCAAGTCTCCGACACCCATGGACCGAGAGAGTGAGATGCAAGTCCTGCTGTCGGCACAATCTTTGAACAAGGCGCTTCAGAGAGAGCCACCTGGCACGCATGTGTTGAGCGCTGCATGTGGTGACCTTTCCTGTTTTTCATGGCAACATGGAGATGATGGAGGTTGAAGAGACGAAGCAAACTTTCTTTTTTAAAAGAGAAACATGGTTTGCATGGAACCAACGATGGTCCAGTTTTGGATAGCTTTTGCACGAACTGCGTGAATACTGGCGCACTGACATCTATCTTCCAGCAAGCTGTTGAAGACGTAAATGAGAGGCGAAGCTTTTTCTCAGGCGTGGTTCAAGTTGCTGGCTGATCAGCGGCCATACAGATGCAGAGAGCGCCTGCATTTGGTTTCGCATCATGGACCAGTTGGTGCATGAGTTATGTTCTGACTGGTATGAGCTTGGATGCTAGAATCCTTTTTCTCACGTTATTCGTTTTGTTTTGGTGTAAAAGTGCCGAGGCAAGTCTACAGACGAGGCCTTCGAGCACGTGGAGGATGGCGATGGCCGTGTGATGGCGTTTCCCTCAAAGCCTTTAGTCTGGGAATATGTGCAACAGTCCATGGTAGGAGGATGAGGTTTTTGCGAAGACTATGCAAAAAGTCAACAATTGTATGACTTATATGCCGCTCGAGCTGCTAGCTCTCCTTTTTTGGCTCCCCTTGAGAGCTATGACGACAGGAGAGATTGTCTTTCCTGAATTTTGAAGGCGTATCGGTGCCTTGGTTCCAAGCCACCTGGATTAGCTCGATTTAAAGGTGTGAAGGTCTTCAGATGGTTTTCCACATGGATGTGACATTTAATGGAGTTCAAAAACAGAACTTTCATGAACTTTCAATCTTTTTGGACACCGAATCGAGCCTGTGATCCGATTGTCAGGTGAAACGAACACGCGCAAGGCACTCAACCATGATGTCCTAAGGAGATTGCGCGCGAGCTTTTGAAGCTTCGAGAGTTCACGGCTCGTTTGCGAGGATGTTGCAACCTCCGTAGCGCCTTGACAGCGCAAGCAAACAGCACCTAGAATAGATGCTTAGATCATGCCTTTATGCTGGGTTGCGTTGGATCCAGGATCCAGAGTGATGCGCTCTAAGGCAATATGCCCGATGCCTTTCCTCAGAAGTTCGATGAAGTCACCTGACCGAAATCATGAATCTATATACATATCCAATCATATCTACATACATAAACTTGTCATGATTGAAGCTGTGCTGGGCACCAGCTGCTTCGTCAACTCCCTGCATAGTGTACCCGGGTAGGGAATGATTAGTCTTTTACATTTCAGTGCAATGCTTGGCACCCAAAATTGCTTGTGCGGTTGTGTGACTATACATAGATACATAGTTCTATGATGAAACTACATGGAAACTACATTTAGGTATGAAGGCTCTACATACTCCGGGGACCTGACCTCCATTGTTTACGTTCAGACATTGGTGGCACAAGGTTCAATGAAAACAACTCAGCAACAACAGGCAAGCTGCTTTGAAGGAACATTTGTTCGACCTTGTTCGGAACAAATGCAAAGACATGTATTTGTATGTTTGTAAGGTGTGCTTGTGAGTATTACAGTCTCAAGCCACAGTCTTTGTGAGGGCAGAAAAAGCACCCCCTCCACTGAGTCCGCAGTCTTGGATGATCCAAAACAAACTCGTGAAGGGCGGACCAGGATCTACAGCGGTGCTAGAAACGCTTGCCACGTTTAGCTACAAAGGGTTGAGCACCAACGTTATGAGTTTGCACTATTTTGTTGGTTGCTGAAGTTGCTGATCGCGTGCACACACAAAAAGAAATATATATACACATTTGGATAGAGATACCATGTTTGCCACAGTGCTCATTCAAGGGATTGCTGGGCAAGGTCCATATGGTCATATCAGCAGGGGTTCAACCCGGTTTGGCTGGCAGGTTATTTGCCTTGAGGATATTCTTTTTGTGGGCTGACGTAATTATCCTTGCCCCAGTACAACTGAGAACTATGCTGATTGCTATTTTTGTTGTAAGAGATTGTTGCTGCTACCATATCTATTCTAGAGGTCTTCAGCGGCTACTGCAAGCTGAACGAAGATCTGATCAATTTGATTGGTTCGCTTCTGGTAGCCTTTAAAGGCGGGCGGGCAAGCTTGTGTAGATGAAATGCTTCAATTCAGAGTGGCCTTGTTTTTCTTTTATATTTATTTTATGTTTATTTTGTTATATATATATATTTTTAAACTTTTTGTTTTTCGAGGCAAAAAAAGCACTTGTTTTTCTCCAACCTGTCCAAGTCAATTTGTAAGAACAGTCTTTGTGTGTTTTTGAGGCAATGGCTCTGTGGCTCCAAGTGCAGTAGAGCTGAAATTAAGGCGGGCAATGACTCTGGACCGAACATAGACAAGTTGAAGTTTTCCCATGCAGCTCGTCCTCATGTGAGCAGCTCCAGGCAAGGAACACCATTCCTTTTCCCCGCTCTGAATGCATGCATGTGATGGTGAATCAAACCGGCGAAGCTCTTGGAATGTGCGAAGCTCTTCAGGATGTTGTTGCATATAGCAGAACAACTTGGCCGCGAACGTGGCTTCATGTCCTTTCACATCGGTGGGCTGCCCAGTCTGCCAAAACCTTTGCTCGAGGTAAACGCTTAGTGTGGCTAGAGATAGAGGTCTAACGCTTAAGTTCTGGATACAGTCTTTTCCTTTTTAAAGAATATGTGTGTATATATATAATATATGCATCAGTGGTAGTAATGCCTTTGAAACAAGTCAAGGAACATGCTGATTCGATGCTGTGCCAAGTCAAGATTGTGACCAGTCCTTTTCACGTGGTGAGCATCGATAGCATCTGTCATCTTTTGCCCACAAGGTTTGGTGACCAAAATAGCAACAGTACCTGAGAGAAAGCAGAGTTGGGTGGTGCTTTTGATGACTGTCAGGACGGCCAGAGCTTATGCACTCACTGAGTGCCCAGTTGCGCTTTGCAAAGATCCAAGGTTGCAGGTGACACTGGGAGACCGGTCACCAGTTGTTTGCTACGCTTTGAATGGTTACGAAAGAGTTTGCCCACAGAGACATCTTCCGACAAGAGGGCAGCATGTGGGCGTTTTTGGATCGCTAGGGAGGTTGAGGGCGAGGCAGTTTGCTGGTTGATTTTGCCAGGCAGTATTTGGTTGGCAGCTCTTCCCCATACACGCAGTGCGGATCTCAGAACAAGCATGTGCAAAAAGAGTTGCACCAGCGTTTGTGCAATCTACAGGACAGAACCGAACCTTTCTCTCTTTGCCGCAGCGGCTGACTCTCTTTACTTCATTCGGTTTCCAGCTTGGCACTTGAAGTGCAATTTGTTTGGTGCGGCAGTAGGAAGTACCTCTTTGGTGCGGCGATGCTGACAGCGAGTGCTCACTTGGCTTTAGAGCACCACCAAGAAAATTCCCGAAAGCAGTGAAAACCGATAGGCCTCAGAGTTATTCATGCTTCAGGCGAGAAGTGGTGTCTACGGCAGATGGACTTTTGCCCAGCTTGAGGTGTGGCTGGAAGTGCTCCCTTGGATTATTCTTTCTTCATTTCTTTCCTTTCTTCCGATTTTGCTCTTCTGTTTGCCCTTTTTTCTTTCCACCTCGGGCTCTTATTGTCGGAATTTCAACGACCATCCCTTTGAGGCTGGCAGAAGAACCAGTGCTGAGTGCCTCAGAGATCGCGGCACTCGAGCGAGCCGAGTTCCTTGCTTGAAGGACTAGCCTGAATAGCCTGAATAGCCTGAATGGCCTTGTACAACGAGCAGTGTTCATTAAGGACAACAAGCTGAAGCTCGCAACGACTTCTTTCTTTTGGATATGATGTGTGTTTGGTGAGTGAGTTTACCTAGACTCTGCCTATTATGTCTTTGTTGCATTCTCAACACAATCCACAAGAGTCTAAGCATGTTGTTGTTTCTCAACTTACAGTTATATAATCCTTTACTGACATGGCCGCAGCGTGTTCCAACACGCTTTTGTTGGCTTGTGTTGCACTCTCCAAAAAGCAGTCAACGCGGCTGCTGGGCACATGCTGAAACGGGGACATACATCTAATAGGTATTGGCATGTACTGGTCTGGGTTTTGAAAAGGGTACTCGTCGTTCAGGGGTCGCTTCCATGAAGTTTCCAATACCCATTGTCTAGTTGATTGAGAAACTGCAACTCCCCTCGCTCTGGACCGTCTCTGAGGGAGGAGGTGATGGCCGGCAAAGCAGACACTTTCGAGTGGCCTCTTGGAAGCATTTTGCACCTTTCTTTTTCTTGACCACTATAGGAAGAGGTCAATTCTGCTGGTTAGTAGATAGTAGCTATTAGGCACTAAACACACTCCTAGTATATCACTGGACGCCGGATAGCTCACACTTCTTCAAGGGGGAGTTTCCTTGAAGAAGCACTCGCACTATTCATTTGGTTCCTAGATTTTGTTTTTAGGAAGCACCAGATATTTGTCCCTCAGGTTCGCCTTTTTGACGGGAATGATCGACAAGGCAGGTGGATTCTTGCACTCACCGCAATACACGCTCGCTGCATTTGGACAAACGCATTGTTGGCATATGTTCGCATATGTCATGAACAATGTTTGCATCATTAAGGCTGTTTCTCTTCTCTGTTCTTCTGTTTCAATGTCTTTCTCTTCACTCTTCTTTCTTCGATTCTTTCCTTTGCTGGTGTGCCTGTGCATGCTACATAGAGTTTGAGAAGCTTTCTAGTGTTGAAGTTCTCCGCGAGGTGCACCAACACGTTAGCATGACGGTGGTGCTATTTGTTCAAGACTTGACATCGGTGCGAGTGGAGGCAGCGATGTAGCTGGAATGCCCGGTCATAGCTACTTTTGTCAGTCAGTAAGCACTATTTTTGGTCACGGTCACAGTGTTTTGCCCAGTCAGTAGCCATACTTTTTTTAGGGGTTTGGTCACTCTGTTCTACCCCGTTGATTTTGTTTTGCAGGACACGGGGCTTGGACAATCAGTCCCTTCACTCTCATCAGCTGCTTCAGAGATTGGGATGCAGTCTACCCCGAGCGTTCTGGGTTCACTGCGTGGCTCCTTGATCGGACCAGTTTGGCGTTATTTCCTCTGCTGACTTCCTCCGGAACCATGGAAAACATGTCTCATCCAGACTTCCTCCTCACTGAACGGACTCACTGAAAAGACAGTCACTGAACGACGGACGCTGCTTCACATGTACCTAGGCAGTCGTGAAAACCTTGGTGTCAGAGGAAACAGTTATGCCTCTTGGACAATGAGACCAATGTCTGTGGTTTGGCGGTCTAGTTGCTTGTGGTGCTGAAGGCAAGTGATGTCAGAATGCATCTGGAAGGGATTGCTTCGTCTCATAGGCTCGTTGAAAGGATTCCGCAGAACACCAAGTTGCTCCCTTCTTCAACCTTTTCCAAGGGATTTCACCTGGTTCGCGCACAATCGTTGCCCCTAGAAAGTGTAACTTTTGCATTTGTCTCGCTCCCTTTTGACAAAGTCTGACTGCTGTTGAATGGGTGTTGCAACTAGGAGATGTCTTATGTGGAGAACAGAAGCTAGGACATGATGAAGACCAGCCCGCTGTTGAATTTGGTGTGTTGTTTTTTGGTAGAGTGTCCGTTCTATAGAATCTATCTCTCTCGCTCTGTCTCTCTCTCTCTCTCTTTCTCGGTCATTGCCAATTGCCAGTGAAAAGTCCATTCAAAGTCCAGCACATCCAACCAAGGACTCAAGAGGAAGCAACGGCGTGGCAGGCTCGCCAGCACATGCCTCTAGCTCAGCTTGTCACTCTCCACCTGCAATTTGTTTGAACTTGCGGAGACTAGACTCCATGAGCAACGACAGGGAGGGAGAACAAAGCCCTCACAAGGTCAACTTGAGTGCTGGATTGCTTGGTTTCTGCTGTTTTGCAGCCAAACCATTTGTGCAACCTCACCTTTCTTCTGAGGTGAAAAGACAGCTGTCTCCGTGACTTGGAAGAAAAGCTCTGAAGCAAATCAGAGACTCAAGCACCATAATGTGTTGAATGCTTTTATACATAATTTGAATCCGTAGTAATTTGCTCGATTGCAAGCTGTGTTTTTTGCGAAAGTTTGCCTTAGATATGAAGTTGGTTTGCGAGACAGCAAGTCTAAGGGGTGCTACAACGCTACACACAGCCACTGTGTTCAATAATGCACTCTCACCATCATACTTTTGCCTGCCTCTATTGATCGCCACTGTTCCGCAGTTCTTGTTTGGCCTTAGATTGCACTAGCTCTCCGAGCAAAACACACAAAAGAAAGCAAAGTATCTTCAGTATGCCGTGTATGCCCCTCTTTTTCTGCTTCTGTCACGTGTTCCGCCTGCCAAGTGTTTCTGTCCTTAACCTTTGCGACCTGAAATTCAGCTCTTATTCTCCCTGTGCAGCTACCTAGCCAAAAGTCCTTCTACTGCTACTGGTAGTAGCATCTAAATTCACACGCTGCAAAGTCTTCAAATTCCAAGTGTCGTGTCGTGCCAGCTCTATTGATTGCTAAGTCCTGAGAAGTATGCAGCATTGCTACAGGCTCCGCTCTCGCTTTCTGATTTGATTTTTAGCCATCATTCCACAAAGTGCAACAGCACGTCATTGTGGATGCATGTTTCAAAGCCCTGCCACCACATTGCAGGAGAGAAGGGGCTCATTTTAGAGCATTTGGGTGCTGCTGATATTCTGGTAGTTTCCTGCAGGTGTTTCTAGGTATTGATTAGGCTGTCGTACAGACTTGACAGTTGTGGCGCAATCCCAGCCTTTGATGCTTGCAGGCAGCTGCCGTTCTGCATCAAGAGGAGGCGTATGCTTGGCAGAATGTAGACAGCAAATGTGTTCAATTGAAATAGATCCTGTTGGGAAGGGTTCTGGACGTTTCTTTTTTCTCAAGCTCTGCACATGGTCTGTGAAAGAGATTGTTCTGAGTTTTTGAGTTGCGTGCTCATTGTGCTCACTGAATCCTGAGTTTTCTGTCAGGAGGTTGTCCCAGGCCTGGGCACGCTGGGCTCCTTTGGACCTTTTGGAAGCCTGGGTGCCAACCGTGCAATGAGTGGCCTGTCTCCTCCACCCTTTCTTGCACAGAAGGTGGGGTGAGATGGGCAAGTATGATGAGATGTCAGAAACTTTGAAGGTCTTAGGCCGGAGAGCTTGAATCTCCTGCACCTTTGTGTGGTCCGCAGGAGCATACTCCGGTGAAGGTGATGCCGCTCAACACCCCCGAAGCGACACCCATCCATCCTGGCATATGGTCAGGCCCAGGGAAAGTGCGTTGTGAATCAGGCAGAAGCAAGATGGTAACAAGAAGCTACTAGTAACAAGTGCATCGCTTCTAGTAACAAGTGCCTTACTAGTAGTAACAAGGAGCTACTAGGAACAAGTGCATCGCTTCTAGTAACAAGTGCCTTACTAGTAGTAACAAGAAGCTACTAGGAACAAGTGCATCGCTTCTAGTAACAAGTGCCTTACTAGTAGTAACAAGAAGCTACTAGAAACAAGTGCATCGCTTCTAGTAACAAGTGCCTTACTAGTAGTAACAAGAAGCTACTAGGAACAAGTGCATCGCTTCTAGTAACAAGTGCCCTAATAGTAGTAACAAGAAGCTACTAGGAACAAGTGCATCGCTTCTAGTAACAAGTGCCTTACTAGTAGTAACAAGAAGCTACTAGGAACAAGTGCATCGCTTCTAGTAACAAGTGCCTTACTAGTAGTAACAATACAGCTGCTTCTGCCTGATGGCAAGTCGTGTCCCTTCAGGCAATCCTATGCAGCCACATCATATGCAGGCACTGCCAACCATGCCGCTTGCAATGTATTCAACGCCTGCAGCTACTCAGGCCGACCGCAGTGTTGGAACAATTGCTGATTATTCCATACGTTACAATCCTGAATGTGGGAATTGACACCAGGGCATCTGATTTCGGGGCACAGCAATTAGCGATTCTTCATTTGGTGAAGCAGATGCCCAGTGGAAGTAACAGGTGGATGGGCTTTTGTCGCCTGCATCTGCACCGCCTCCATCCCTGGGATCTACACCTGCACCAAGGAAGGGTTCTTCTGTGAGTAGCTGGTCCACCACTTTGGCCATGCACATATGGAATGCAACAGAAAAAACGGAGCTGCTTGTTGAGTTCAGTTTCAGGTTGCTTGTGAAAATCAGCCTTCAATTGAAGTCTCCATAGATTGAAGGGCTTGGTGTCCTTGTCTCAAGGAGCGTGGTGGTATCCAAGGGCACCATTGGCCATCCACATTCTTGCCGACGTTTGGGGTGCAAGTTCGCCTCCAAAGAACGTGGCTGTCGAGAAGGCCCATCAAAGCTCAGAAAGTTGGATGTCAAAGCTCAGAATGGGAAGGGAAAGGCAACATGTTATCATGACAACGCATGGAGTCCGAAGACATATGTAAAGGAGAACCAGGAAAAACCATTCATGGCAGAAAGATGCAGAAGGAACTTGAAGGAACCGGCACAAACAGTTCCGCCTCATCTTCCCGTGGACGAGCACGACCGGGTCAGGTGCCGAGTGTCCCAGATGCCATTTGTGTGTCTGGAGCCGTGCATCTGAAAAGGACTGACGTGACGTGTGTCGAGCACGTGAGGTGTCGCGTCTTTAACGACACGAAGCCTTGTTATCTCAACATCTTGCGAGCGGTCCCTTTTTTTTTTTTTTCTATTTTTGTTCTCAAAGTCGTATAACAAAGCCTTCGGGCCTTCTTATTCTCAACATTTGTTAGAATAGGAATTGCAACAAGAATTGTCACAAAACCATTGTCAAAGCAAACACTTTTGGAAGGCTTTGTTTCATTCTACAGTTGTCAGCTCTGGACGTGAGTGATTCGATCATGCCCTTCAAGGAGGCGAGCCAAGCTGCTTGAGGTGAAGCACGAGCGCATGTTGCTGAAGCTTTGGTGAGGAGTTCTAACAAGCTCTTTAACACCCTAAAATGTTTGTTCAGCTCCCATCAACTCCAGTTGGCATGGGATACATTGGAAGTGTCGGAAGTGACAATGCAACACCTCCGGACCTACATCCTAGCTCACGAGACGGATACGCACAGTTGGACTCGGTCGAAAGTCGAGCTGCACCAGCTGAAACTACTTTTGCAGACCAACTGCAAGCGCAGTTGTTTTGGTGACAAAAACAAGGAAGATCCTCAGCAAAGGTAACAAAGATCAGGTATCAGACATGAACGTACTTCTACATACACGTAACATAAATAACTATATACTATATGATTATAGAATGTAATTGCTATGTGACTAAGTATATATATATATTGATACATATGTATGTAGGTACATGTCGTAAAGTTGATTCAAGCAGAAGCTCGGTCCACTGCAAAACCCTCAAGCATTTTGAAGGATAGAACATCGTTGTACGCTCATTAGCGTCCATCGCACTACTGTGACATTGGAAGGTGTCAATGGCTTGAAGCAAATCTCTACAAGTAGTCATTCCGGTCCAGGAGTTTGGTCATGGTATGTCTGGTCAGGAAAAAGATGAAGGGTGCTAAAGCAAGGCACCTGACACTGTCAGTCATGCCGAGTAGGTGCCGATGTAGCATCAAGCTCCTCTCCAAAAGATGCGAGCCCTCAAGCTTCTTGCCTTCTTGGTCTCACTTCAAGGTGATCGGACGATTTGCTATGATGTGCAACGGCCAGTCAATTTGGACCATGCTACTGTTTCCTAGGTTCTGCCGACTTGCAGCATGTTGGGCCGCACCCACGTCCGGTTTTGAAGAATACTCAGCCTGGTTCAAACAGCCGGGACAACAATTGCCAGGTCATGCTGTCTTGTGTTTGCAAGACAGAAAAAATTGACCAAACTGTGTATTTGTTATCTCTTATGCCGTTTGATTTGACACCTTTGACACCTTTGTGACATTGTGCCACAAATGATCTCAATTCAGGGCTCGGTTCGGTTACTTGGCCCAGCAGAGAGCGGGCAGGGCGCCTTGGAGCGACCTGATGGCCGAACCGACCACTCGGCGGTTTTCAGAGTGCACTGCCGAAGTGGCAAAGCGTTGCCAAAATTTTCAACCACTTCGCTTGCAAAAGAAGTGAGATCACTTGAGCAAGCGACAGAATAGGTCAGCTGCTTGGTTCGTGGAGACCTACAGCTGTCGGCATCGTCGGCACGAATTTTCGTGCACAATCAATCTGAGCAATCTGAAGGTTGAGATGGAGCTGACAACTGCGAAGACAAGGTTCCTTGACATTTCCCTCAACACTATTCCCCCCCAGTCACACGAATTGAAGTAGGAGTGACAATAAGGTCAGGCAGCCCAAATCCATCCAAATCCTCATGTCATGGATATTCAACAACGACCGATCTTGATTGAAAGGACAGGCTTTCACGGTTCGCAATTGGTTGGCCAAGACAGAGAGGGAGAGTTGCAGTGAATTTCGAGCAAGAAAAGTGCCCGTGTTTCGCTGATGCACGGTAAAGATTGACCACACAAACCAGGTCAGTACAGCTTCTGTCAGGGATTTCCTCCGCTTCATTCGTGCGGATTCAGAATGCAAGCCACCGATCCTTGATGTGAGGCAAGACTGCTCTCATCTGTGGATGCTGGTTGTGGCAGGTTGGGGAGATGAAGGGTATGCATTTACATTTACATGTGTAAATATATACATATGTATATATATATAATATATATATATATATGGCTCAAGGCTCAAGCCATTTCAGCATCAAGCTCGGTGTGTGACGCACATCGGGCCGAGCTCGAGGGAACTCTACACCACCAAGCTCCCCTTTGGCCAGATCGCGGACGGCACCGGCATCCACACCCATGACTTCTCCGGGCCCTTCCCGCTGGTGCAGAGGGTACCAAGTATGCCAGAGCACCTCTTGTCACAACTGGATCTGGCAGGACAGAGTAAGGGAAGGCACAGTCTGTCGGCAGTGTGGCACCTCATGGCCGCAACCTCCTCAAGGCTTTGCACCGAGACCTCCGCCACCAAGGCTTGCAAGATGGAAGAATTCCCGAAGTGTCACGCCGCCTCCAGGCCTGTGGAAAAACAACAACAGACCCAGCAAAGTCCAGAAACTTACTGGAGAGCTTCTTGCATCCTCATGGGACAAGCTTGATCCGGGTCTTCAACAGAAGTTGACCGAAGTCGGCATCTCACCGCCCCCTCCAACTCCAGAGCCAGACCTGCAGGATGTGCTCAGGGACAATCTGGCGCAACTTCCAGCGCCAGTCAAGGAGCTGGTTGAGAAGATCACCAAGCCTCAGCCACCAACGGAAAAGGACGTTGCCAACAAGCTCAAGCAGCAGGTCTCCAGTCTGAGAGATCTCTCCCACAGGAAACAGAACCTGCAGGCCAAGATTGATGCCACCAAGAAGGCCTTCCAGGACTTGTTGAATGAGATGAAGCTCATCCAGTCCAAGATCGAACAAGAACAAACCGAGCTCAACAACACCAGCACGGCCTACATGACCCTGGTCAGCAAACAGCCTGACCCTGTGCACTTAGTTGAAGATGCTGAAATGAAGGATCCAGTACCAGAAGCAGTAGCTGGTTTCATCAGCACTCTTGGAGTCAGTCTCACACAAGAGCAGCAGGACCAGCTCAAATCGATGCTCAAAAGGCCCACCAGCCTCAATGAGGATGATGCCAAGCGCCGCAAGCTTGCAGAAGGTGACAAAGAACAGTCATGTGGGTAACAAAGCCACTGAGGCTTTGAAGCACGATTTGCATTTCGCTTCAGTTGACACCTTGGGGTTAAAGCCATGTTCTTTCATGGAAAGGGGAACTGGTCAATCAAGTTGCAGGGGAAATGACAACTTTGTTGACCTCATCGACCAACCTAGTTTGGGCTCAAGCTTCACTGCAAGAGCTCCTGCAGATGCATATGGACCTTGGCGGTCTCACTTTGCGGCCAAAGTCAAGGGAGGAGGAGGGCCATTGCTGGAACTTGAGGCACCGAGTTCTTCTACCTCTGAGCCTGCCCCCAAGGGTGGTGCGGTATACGGGACCTCAAGTTTCCAAGCTCTGGCTCACATCCTCCACGGTATGAACCCAGAGCAACAGTTCCGAGAAGCTGCGCATGAACAGCTCCCCCAAACAGGACATCAAGATCTTCAAACCTCCTGCCAAGAGTACCTAAGAGCTCCGACCCAAGACCATGGGCAGCAACTTTTGGCAGACCTTCAAAGAATGGAAAGACTGGTACACAAACATCAAGGACTTCAAGGAGATCCACCACTCATCCAGGCCAACTCAGGCCTGATTGCGCAAAACTTGACCAGTATTGCGGCCAACCATGGCAATCTTTGCTTTGGCAATTCCGTCTTCAGATGCTGGAGCTGGATGAGTTGCTTCACCATGGAACCCACGCAAACTTGGGGCAGGCTACATCAGGCCTTCAGAGCCTTCCTTTCTTCGTCTAGGCCATGTCTTCTGACCCAAATTCACGAGCTCATGGACGTTTGGGCTCACTTTGACGAACAACAACAAGCAGATGTGGGAGACTTTGTTGGGCGCCTCTACACCACGGCTGCTCCTCAGAACATTGGGGGCAAATTCTTCCACCTCAAAACCAATGGGGTCTTGGAAGAAAGAGAACAGGTGCCAATCAACCTCATCTGCCCTCCTGGAGAAGCAAAAGTCACTCTCGATGAACTTGTCACTCAGTGGGCCAATGAAGAAGAAGGGCAATACTTGTATGGAGCCCCCAATTGCTTGATCTTCCACATACAGCGTTTTCATTGTCAAGAGCACATGTGGACCAAGCATCACAGGCCTGTGGAGGTACCTACGGTCATCACCATCCCCTTCTCCCTCCAGGGCTGGCTACAGAACAGTGGCCATGATCTTACACCATGGCGAGACTCACCACAACGGTCACTTCACCGCCATTCATGCGCTGGACAATGCTTTCTGGAGTGTTGATGACAACCAATTTCCACAACCAATTGGTGGACTCAATGAACAACAAGAGACTGAAGTGCTCCAGGTATGGCTCGTTCATGATCCAATTGAAGATGATTCTGATGGCGCCTTGACCCCTGAACCGCCCATCAAGAAGATCAAAACGCATTATGAAGATGTGCTGATTTGCTTCGCCAATGTCACGACCTTCGGCAAAAAGGTTCAAGATTGGGTATGGTCCAAGGCTGATCACTTGGTTTTTCTGCAAGAAACACATCTCTCGGAAAGCAAATTGCAGGAAGCCATGCAGTATTTCGTCACCAGGGGATGGCGTGCCTTGGGAGTGCCGGCCACAGACACTGGACGAGGAGGTAACACCGGGGGGTTCCTTTGTTTCCATCCTCCCCATCACCATGTTCACAGCTTGCAACACTTCTGCAAGGAAGGAAATGGATGGATGGCAGTGGGTTACCAGCGAGAAGATCTACACATCGCCATCATACAGCTGTACTTGAGAACAGGTGAAACTTTGCAGTCACCTTTTGAACGCAAAGATCCTGTGCAACTTGTTTGGATTCTTGGAAACGCTCAAGGCTCCTTTCATCATCGGTGGTGACTGGCAAAATCCGCCCAATGAGTTGGCTGCTATGGTCGTTCAAAGCAAGTTTAAGGCTCACATTCTCAGTGGAGAAGGACCCACGACACTCCATGGCAGCCAGATTGACTACCTCCTGGTCTCCAACAAATTGCACGGCTCCTTGGATCTCGAGATTTCTTGGGAAGTCCCTTGGCGACCGCACTGTGCTCTCAACCTCAAGTATCACTGCGAGCATGTTTCCATTCCGGTCCAACAAATGCGGGCCTTCCCTCCCATCGGACGGGCTCTCAATCATGGCTGGTCCGAATTGCAAGAACCCAATGGACCCTTCTACATCCTCAACTACCAGATTACAGGCCTTGGCACTGATCTGGCTCGATGGTGCGCCAAATCAGAGAGCTACAGCAAATCCAGCAACCCAGAAGAGGACGTGGGTCTCAGGTGGACTTCTTTACAGCTCCATTGGCGGGGCCACATCCTGCTCAGCTGTGGAAAAAAGGAAGGCCAGCCTTCTGGGAGAAAATGTCAGTCAGGATCAGTGTCCTTCACCACAATGC